TCAAAACACTCAAACGCCAAAATTTAGACGCTGGGTGAAACTCTGGTCACGATGCTTTTGGCACTTCAACGCTCTGGTTGTTTACCTGCTTTGTTCTGTAGCTACAAGCAGAGAGCAGCTTGGCTTTACTTACTTTGGTGAGTGAGAAAATTTGTTTTAACACATTTTTAAGCAAGAAAGTCCACCCCAAAAAAATGAATCTGTGTGGTCAGTTTGTCAGGATTATAATCCTGCTAAAATATGCAATTCTTGCATACTGGCGGCGGACTGCAGTGCTGGAAATCCCCCCTGAAAGCTCTCTGCATTGGCCAGCCTACTGATGATTTCTCGCTGCCGTTCGTTGTGATTGGGAGTCCCAGAATACACAATCTCTTTATATATATATTTTGTCAACAGGTTAGAAAATTTTTTGTTGATTTGTATATTTATAAACTGTTTTCCCGCTTTAAAAAAAATATGTTTTAGTGTGAAAATAATTATCGAAGCTTGCTCTCTTTTCCTTGTACATAATCCATTCTACCGTTTTTTTTTTTTATTTATTTGGAATTTAACCCCTTGATAATTATTTATTTTTCTTGTGCAGACAGCTCTGTAGAACAGCTTGCATTGTAGAGTCTGTCTCCCAAAAAGGACTCCTCGATCAGCTTTTCTGATTGGTTGTCTCTGCAGCAAAAGTTTACATTTTTGAACTCAAGCGTTGAATTCTCGGATGCTCGGAGGCCAGAAAGTTAGAAAGCTCTTGAAGAGGTCCCCCATAGACTTTTCATGTAAGTCAGATGCTTTGGCCCCGGTAACGACTTCAGTGTGAATGCACTATTTTGGCTGCTGTAGCTTTTTGCTTTTGGTTTGAGGAAGACAAAACATATTCAAGCTGTTTTCATGACATTCAAATTTCCCAAATCTCAATCTGGTTGAGTATTTGCAGGATGTGCTGTATAAACATTTCAGATCCATTGAAGCACCAGCTCACAACTTGAGGGACCTTAAGTATCAGCTGCCAAAATCTTGGTGACAGATACCACAGCACAACTTTAGTGGAGTCCATGCCTCCATGGGTCAGGGAGGTACTCGATGGGTCAGGGATGTAACAAAAAAGGAAGAGTAACACACCGTTGGCCAGATGGTGATAATGATTTGCATGACCAATCCCTATTTAAATCTAACAGACCAGCTGTGCTTCTAGTTTCAACAGCAATGTCAGGGAAATATTTAGAGGTTCTAACATGCATTGGCTATTCAGGTTTGACATTCAGGTCTGATTCCACCTAAATGACCAATTCTTTTACATTTAATTTCTCCTAACTTAGACTGCAAAATTAAGTTTTAACTTAAGAGGGATTCAGATAGTTTCCTACATTAATAATAAGGAAGGACTTAACAGAAAGGTGTTAATGTGCTTTATTTCATGAGGATGTTCCAGCTGTTGAGCCCAATCTGTGTCCATTCCACTCTGGAGCCGTACTGTGTATGCAAAATCCCTATTCAGGCTTGGGGCTTCATGCATTAAAGCCATCAGCAAGAAAGTAGAGCCCTGATTGGATCCTACACAAAAACCATCACAGCCAGGGGTCTATTGAGCATGGGCTGGTTGTTAAGCTGGCTGCTCGCTGCTGATTGGCAGAACACGCCATAAGATTTGAATGACAGTGGCCAAACAGAGGGAAACTTTTAATCATGAAACAAGATGAAAAAGGTGATCGTTCACTCTCAAAAGTTGTCTTGTGATGAAATCTTGCAATGGTTTGTGGAGTTTATTATTTCACAACAGCTTCTCACCTGTTATAGTAATCTGTGTTATGTGCTCATCATATTTTATTGCAATATGTTACATTTGGATTTGACTAAGAGCATTGAGCCTCCCATGTTTCAAGGACAACTGGTATTTGTCCTCAATAAAATTACATTCCTAGAGCTTGACTTTTAACCTCTACAGTAGCCCTGCTGAAACTATTTAGTTTTCCTCTATAAGGGATTATAAAATGTATCTTATCTCTATAACACTAATTGTATGGTTGTTAAAGATCCTTATTTAGACAGTAAATCAGACAAACACTCCATTTATTTCTGCCACCTTCTCTCCTTGAGATACTCTTATGGTGCATTCACACCAAAATAAATTTTTTGAGCATCAGGGGTGTCCAGCTGCACACAAGGTCTATGGGGGACAAACTTCAAGGGGCGTTGAGAGTCCTGAAGCACATTCTAAGCATTTTTAGCGTTTAAGCTCGTTCATAGCAGCAGACAAAGAAGTTGGAAAATTTGAACTTTTGGCAGCTTGAAATGGAACATCAAGCAGTCGGAGAATCTAATGAAGGACCTGTCTGGGAGATCTGCATCATTGAAGCTATGAGCTCTCCTCCCACAGAGCGGCTGCTTAAAACTATGGGGAAAAAAAGTATGTACATAAGTGGGAAAAGAAATTCCACTGGTATTATCTAAAATGAATTTATTTTTGTACTTTAATTAAAAATATTACCGGGCGAAAAGTATTACATATACACCCTGCAACAAAAAACATAGTAGCCAAATGCTTTTCTTGTAATGAAACAGGCCATTTACAGTATATGGCAAACAATAGAAAAGATGCACAGGCTTTTAGAAATGTAAGAAATGAACTAATGATTGTTCTTTGACAGAAGAAGAAAAAGCAGATCTAGTGTCCCCTACTGTTGTAGCTCCAGAGGTGTCAAGTAACTAAGTACAAATACCTCATTAATGTACTTAAGTACACTTTTTAGGTATCTATACTTTACTCCATTACATATTTTGTCTTCCTACTTCTGAATTCTAATCATTACATTTTCACACGACTATCTGTACTTTCTATTCCTCATATTTTTAAAACAAACGTTTTACTCGTAACTCTTGGCTTCGGTTTAATGTTCAGTGTCTAAAGTTTGTTACTTACAGTGCCATCTGGCTGTTTTTTAAAGGTTACTTTATACTTTTATACTTTCAGTAGTTTTTGGGGCCCTTCTTTTTTCCTTTTTCTTTGGTTAATGGGTTCAGTTTGTTCTTTCACTTTTTCCCGGGTTTTTTTGAACTTGCGTTTTTTTTCTTTTTCTTTAGTTACCAATTTTTGTTCTTTTTACACCACTGTGTAGCTCATAGATTGGCAGGATTAACTTGTCTGATCTAACTGTTGAATGACTGATGAAATGTTGCTATCTGAATCTTAGATTGATTATTTTCAGGGAACCATTCTGGTCCCCAAAGTACTTTCACCTTTAACCTTGGAGTAGTTTATGTCTGGTTGCAGTAAGGATGCACACAGAGGGCCCAATCAGATGATAAAACAAAAAGGAGTGTCAAACAAACATGCACCACCTGAAAGGGGGTCCCATAGGTCTCTGCTATAGTTCCTATTGATTGGCACTGCTGGAATTCCTCTGAGTCTGCAGCAAACGAAGGGCCCATTGCTTTAGAGTCAGGTGTCATTAATCTGTGGTTCTGCAATTTCTGTTCTAGGAAACGTGGGATTGCTTGATGGCCACCTGGAGTATAAGTTTCACTTTTTGTTATGATTCAAAACATTAAATTATCTCCTATGAATAATGCTCATCAGTGTGATGGATTTCCATACAAGGCTAAGATTTCTCCAGGGTTCTTGTAGCCATTTACATAACAGAAGCATCAAAACAGCACTGTGACACCTCTGTAAGAAGTCACCTGCCATCAACCACAATACATGTTATCTTATTTTTGTCCTATAGAAAATATCAGACAGAAGTAAATAGTTTGAAGCACCAGAGACTCTGTTCTCCTTTCAGCCCTTTCAAACCAATAACACATCTATTTCACACCTTAAGGCGTATTGTGATGCCATCAATCCAACATGAAGTATACGGTAAATGCTTCTACAGTAATTATACTGTTGACATGGAGCAATTAGCCAACCAGAGTGTTTTCAAATGGAACCCATATGAATCCTCTTCACTACCAACATTTTCTTACCTGCCAAATAACACAAACCCATTCAGACACGAAGTGAGAAATTCATATTTTGCAGGTTCCTTCATGCATATTAAAGCTCGACCCTGACAGAGTATCTGGCCATTACCATGCACTGGGCTGCCAATTTTCCAGGCGGCAGCTTAATGCTGCATCAGTGGATTAATATTTTCGGAATGAGGGGGCAGTCTAGTTTTCTAGCTTCCTGTGAGGGTGCTGCTGCTGCTGACTCCAGCAGACTGTTATTGATCAGGTTTATGTTGTACAGAGCCGAGTGATTAGTCCCAGACAGGCTCGAAAACAAAAGGTTTATAAAGAGAGAGACAGAGAGAGAGAAAGCAACAAAATAGAAATTATACTGTAAGACATTATTATCTGTGTGAACAAATTAGCATTAAAAACAAACAGGTTTATGTTACATCATTCTTAGATTACCTCCATAGCTTATAGTTCCCCAAATTTGACCTTTGAAAGTTCTTGATCTAGAACATAGCTTGTGCCGCAGGTTTGGCACTTTGCAGAAAAGCAAAGGTTATTTCAACAAAGTAACAACTTATTGCCCCACAGAAATGCATGTACTTCCCAGTCTTCTGGCCAAATAAAGTTAGATTTATTTCTTTTAACTCAACATTCTTGCAGCTTTTCACTGTCAGGTAATCCTGTTCCTTAGGATTTTGTTGTAGCTCTGATCCTAAGCTGGCATGAAGTGTAACAAAGCAGATAACATTTTAGTGTATGTTAATTAGTATGCAACGTTACATTTCAGGTCAAGCAGTTTTCCTAAAAGTGTTTTTGTTTTTGACAGAAAATACGTGCCTGAGCTACCCTGCAACAATAAATGTGTTGCAAATTGGTCAAACTGTTACAAAAGCAGCCTTTGATAACAAAAACATATCACCTTATTATCCCCAAAAAAACAATGAAAATGACAAAAAAATATCCATAGACTCACTAGAAGGCACTAAATAAATCTGTCCTGAAGCAAATTCATCAGGTTGATCTTTACATAATGTTAAAAGTTTATAATGTTTATAATTAAAAAGTTTTACCATCGAGCTCCTCAACAGATATGGTGGCCAGAACATCACTGTCGCTGTCGGACAGCGAACGGCTCAGGTAGTTCCCCTTGTAGAGCAGGCCTGCCGTCACATGGTGGAACGGCATCTTCTCTCTGACAGACAACACAAAGACATGTTAAAATGGCTGTGATCACATTGAGTGCCATGAAAATGATCAATACGGCATCGTTTTTTTCAACATTTTATCTCTTCCTAATCATTAATTTGTATAAGGCCGGGTGAGATTTCTATTCATTTTATAAAATTTTACACCATATTGATGATTTTTTTTTTTAGGAAAATACTTTTCATATATTTTTTCTCTCACAGTTTTCTCTATTTGGCCTGTTTATCTTGCCAGAAACCTGACAGAGTTCCCTGCCCCTGCTCCATAAAAGCATGCCCTCAGCATTATTCTGTCACTACCATGTTTCACCATGGTTATGATGAGTACGGGATTATTAAGAGTAAAAGTTTAGGGTTTTTCTGCCCTGACCAAATGTCCTCCTTCTTGTTTTTTTTGTGTCCCCTACATGGCTTGTGCTAAACTACACCCAGGACTTATTGCATCTTTCTTTTAGAAATGCTTTTCTTCTGGTCTATCTAAAAAGGCGGGGTTTGAAGGCTGTATGACTGATATCCCATACACAGATCTATTTTACAACTCCTTTAGAATTTATCCCTTAATGCTTGACCTCTTTCTGATTAATGTCTGTGTTTCCTTGCCTGGGTTTTTTGGTGGACCACTATGTCTTGCAAGATTCACATTTGTCCTACTGTGGTAAATGTTCCTATCTTAATGAACAGCTCTGGATGATTGTTTTGTAGCCTAATGCTGCTTTAAACATCTCCAACCCCTACTAAAGCATTTTTAAGATGTACAAGCTGCCTTAAGTCCATAAATATTTTTCAGCCAACCTGCTATTTGAGTGAAGTAAAAAAAAAAAAAAAAAATCATAATAAATAACAGCAAGGTGAGGTAAGGCACCAAGGTAAAGCAGAACCTTGGTGAAAAAAACATCAGCATCCAAGGGGCACTGAAACCCACAGATGAACTATTAACTAAATGAGAGGCAAATATTAAGGAAGACTCTTAAGTTGAGACGAAAAGCTTTGTGTGTAAGTGTATGAGCACTGGAGAGTTCATGCATGTATTGTGTGTAAATGAGTCTGAACTAGCAATTAATTATTCAATAAACTGAAGCTCAAGGGCACAGAGGGAAAGTTAAAGCACTAGAGTAGAGATGAGAGAGATTCTGCTTTTCTCCTGGTTGGACTTCTCTAGTTTAATTTATTCAAAGGAAAAATTATACCAAAGATACAATTTAAAACATCTGTCTTTAAGTATTCATATATATTATACAGATCGAAAGTAGATTTTGGAAAACGTTTCAGCAAGATGATCCAAAGGAGAAAACTAGTAAATTCTCAAAGGTACAATGGTTTCCTGTGCAGTTCAGATGCTTGTATGCCATCTGTCTCTATGTTAGCCATCAATATACTCAGGTTGAACCCTGCCTTTCACTCAGTGGCTGCAAGAAATTAGAGATATCCCTGCATGCCCCTGAACAGCATCAAGGGGGTACAGATAATGGATGAGATGCTAAGATGATAAAACCCCAGCTGCTAAAAAGGCTTAAGCTATTAATCAGCCAAAGATCCCTCAGCTTGGCTTATAAACGCTGCTTCTCACTCACATAAGTAAAAATTAAGACTTTGATATTAAAGCTTTAAAATTAAATCATTAAGACTAAATGCAAATCAGTCAACCTTATGGTAATTCAAAAGAAGCATTAATTACCCTAGTGTAGAAAAAATTAACATTAGCAAACTTCTCAATCAGTTGGGAAACAGTACAAATCAAAAGTAGCCAAGTGCGAGCACATTAATATAATACTTTAAATTTAAAAAAGAAAAAATCTTAATGCAAAATTTATACATTTATTCTATGTCTACATCTTCAGCATAGTTTAATGTTTCTGGCGTTTTTATTTTTTCCTGATAAAAAGAATTGGCTTTACGAGGGGAATGCGTTTGTGCTTGTTTGGCTTGTACAGGGTGCTAGATGAATATGTGTAAAGTTTAAGTCAATGATTCAATAGTAAAGTAATGTACCCTTACACACTAAACAATAGAAGTAAAAATGCCATATGCGCACCCTTTCCACCTGGATCCCCGCTCTTTTTCGCCCTCATGTCCCTCCATTGTGGCACAAACTTGCCCATTGCCTTTTTCCACTTCCTCACCGCATCGGGCGTATCTAGACCAACAGCTATTTCGTGATTGTCCCTCTTGTGTTGTGGCGTGGAATAAAATAGCACAGACCATGCTTCAAAATTGGGCATAAATCAAAAATATCTGCATCATATCTGCGACAAGCTCACTGCGACAAACTCTCGCGGGAGTATAACCAGCCCTTTAGCCATTGTCTGCATGGGGAAGACACTCTCAAAATACGAAGCAACTCCAATTTTCTCTTAACCGACCTTATTCGGGTTATAGTCATTCCAAAAAGTTACAAAACAATCCACTGGACTTTGTTTCCAAGATTAAAGACGTTTGGCTTCCCATCAAGGAAGCTTTTTCAATGCAAAATGTCAGAAATAGCGTTGGGGTTGTTGGCCTTTTCATGGACAAGCAGATGGGGTTTGCAACTGACCTGACATAGGCAGGAAGGGAGGTTGTATAGTTTTGGCTCTAGTGAAGGGGCTTTTCCATTCAGCAAGGGCTTGGAGAAGAGCTGTTTTCTGTCCACGACAAGAAGAAATTGTTAAGGTGGCTGGGGCATTTGTTTACACTCCCATCCTGCAGGTGTTCCAGGCACGTCCCACCAGGTGGAGGCCCAGGACATGCTGGAGGTACAATGTGTATTGCCTAGAATTCCTCAGGATTCCCTAAATAGAGTTGGAGGTGGTGTCTGGGAAGAGGGAAGTCTTGGCAAATCTGCTGAGCCCGTTGCTCCACCGACCAATCCCTGATCTGGGATAAATATAAAAGAATGCCTACAAGTAATTCTATGGGTTTTCTGATCCACTTATTATTATTATTATTATTGACGAGTCAGTTAAAAAGAGTTAACTTGTGGCAGTTAGCCGTTAGCTTCTTTGTATAAAACATGGATCACTCATACTTTGTTCACTCTGTCGACTGAATACATTTCCTGGAATGAATATTGGGTTTTCTTTGCCATAACAGGGTTCATAACCAATTGTTAATCTATCAGGAGTAATCACACGATATTGTTTAGTATAATATATCATCTTTGTTTATTTTTGTGAATTGGTTTGAATGCATTCCAGTTTTTAGTTAGGTTTCAGTAGCTTAGTTAAAAGTTTTTGCACCTGAATCTTTTTTTACCACTAAATTCTTAGTTTTTGAATATATATATTGCTGTGAATGTATTCATTATGTAAGCAAAGGTAGCTGTTTGACCATAATGGAGCTTTGATTACACCATCATCTGTCGTCCTAACACACAGAAACTTGAACATGTGTTCACACAAAAACATATGAAAGACATATTTAATATGATCATATATTATAATATGTAGCATCTAATCAAAAGATATTTGATCAAATATTAGAACATGAATCTATGCAAGTGGTTAACATGAAGTAAAAATCCTAAGTCAGAAAATGGCAAACACAGCTAATTACCTAAATTTACCCGTATGGCCATTCAAAGCAATGTTTCAGAAGTTTATTAGGTGAGGGCAGTAAAATTAGCATAATAATGCTCCAACACAGGATATTTTTGCAGTGTTAAAATAACACTGGGAAGGCATCCCACTAGGAATTGGTGCTAAATTAGAACTCTACGTAGTGTATACTTTACTCCAGCTGTTGTTGTATTAACTCTAGGAGTCAGTTTACTTTGTCACTGCATATTTAACACCATGGAAGCCATATGGCCAAATCAACACAGACCTACATCTTCTTCAACAACTTGCACAAATGAAGATGTAGGTCTTATGGAAACGATGATGCATAAGATGAGGAAATGAATGCACAGGAGAAAGTAAGAGTCACATTTTCTTTTTTCCTCCAGCAAATTGATATGTCATAGAAAATTAAGTACTGTCCAATTGGCAATGTGAGTTTTTCACAAGAGTTTTTACGTCTGCGTTGATAAGTTTTGCTTCAGTAATTTGTAAAATATTGGTTCTTGCAACAGGACTTAGTTTTCAAAATAGAAATATACAAATAAGAGGTTCAGATTTATTGAATTGGGATAAAGTGATAATTTATTTTAGGGTTTTTTTCTACCCATACCTGTCTATCATATGTCTGCAATTGATACTAGCTTCACACTAAAAGTCACTCAATCAACCCAGGAAAAATAAGAGTTTAAACAGAGCCAGAGAGTATCTACATTTAAGAATATGAGAAATAAAAGGAAATTTGGTGGTAATATGTCTCCAGTCTTTTCTTTTATACTTTAAAGAGGTATCTTTGCATGGGCCACCTACGCAGTGGCTTTTTTTAGAGTTTGAAGATATCAGCCCACCATTACCTGTCCATTTTTCATCCTCGTCAGTTTAATAAGCACTCAAATCAAGATGCATGTATTTCCGCCTATTACGCACAGATATGTTTTGTGCATAATGTAGAGCTTTTTTTCTTTTCCTACTTCATCAATTCAGTCAGCTCTTGCTCTAAATGTGATAACAATAATGGCTTTTTTCCAGTTAATAACAAAGCAATACATCCTATCATGCCTTCCACCCTTGCTCCTTGCTGAAACATTGATCTGAAATGTTTACCAAGAGTAATAGTCTGAGTAAGAGATTCAAATAAGGAAGAAAGAATAACAAAATGTCTAAATAAGAAGCAGCAATGTTACGCAACACTAACTTTTGGTTTTTTAATGATAAAATGTGCGCTGATGTCCTCACTTTGTGTGTTTTAAGAACAGATTAAAGTCATTACAAACAGTTCAGTAACAAGCACAAGTATTTCATGGTGATTTATGGTTTCAGGTAAGGCTGAACAATTTAGTGCATTTGCAATATATTCACACACACAAAAAAATACAATATATAAACAGCTCAATTTTTGGTCAAGTGACATTTTATGAAGTAAGATATTAACCTTCTTTCGAACAGCATAATTC